CTTTAAGGGTAAGTTCAAGAGTAACTACTAGTTGTTTTAATTAAAGTCCCATATATATATATATAACTTCGTTAAAAAAGCATGTGTCAAGGAACAGTAGAATCAGGCACTCGTCAAATTTTGGGTATGTGGAGTTATTAGTACCATCATAAAGCCTGTTCATTTGTCTTACTTTCAAATGAAAAAAATACCCATCTACTTTGTAAAGAAGTCAAGAAATTTGCGATCAAAGGAGGCGGGGCCGCCTGGTTTCAGTGGTAAATTTAGCGAGAAAATAGCCGCCAAAGTTTGGGAACTTCCGTAGCAGGAGAGTCCTTGGAAACTGAAAATTTACATTTTTTGTGCCTTCGACCAATGTTTTTCAGTAAAATCCACACAGAGATGTGTATTTAAATGTATTTAAAAGGGTGTTGAGCCCCCCCCCCCCCAAAAAAAAAAATTTGACAAACATTGCCAAACCAGCAGGAAAATGCCAGTTTCTTGGATTTCATTATTTTGACAAGCGCCCAGTTTCAACCTGATACCTCACATGTATATTATGCAGTTTTCTAAAACTATAAAATATTCATAACAAAAATACACAAACTTGACTAACATGTTATAACACATGTCAAAGATGTCCTCTCAAAAATAGAAGTTCTATTATTATTATTATGGATTGTTGCTCTCAGAACAGACTTCTTGAGAATAAATAGAGTGTAAATTTGTATGTTCTTAGACAGTATTATGCCAGACCAAACATCATCCTTGTTGTAAAGTTACAAAAAATCCACATGACAGCCTCACATTCCCAAAACTACCTTGTTTACTTGTAAGTCTAAACATGTTCCAAACCAAAAAGAGGGTAAAGCCTGATGGCAATTTCAACACACCTTTCTTGAGAGGTGCAAAAAATTAGAAGGTCTAGATCTGTACTTTCAAAACAGAATGTGCCTCCTGAAATATCACTTACGCTGTGATTGACCGTTACACAGATTTGTTCGGTTTCACAGAAGAATAATCACAAAGGCCAAAGAAGGAGGGAACTTTTTGTCAAATATATCTTTCTGAATTCAGGAAATCCGTCATGGGGACTTAGGTATCTTTTTGCAGGTACTTGCCAACTTTCAACTCTGTAGCTGTCGTAGTTTTATGGGAAAAGTGACACATGTATGTGTTTACAAGTTGTCAAATATATAATAGATAAGCGCTGAAGATTAGTGGTGCTACTAACTATATATAGTAACATACAAATAAAATAATAAAAAGAGGAGAGATAAGGACAACAGAGGTTTGATAGCAAAGGAGCTAAACACATCAGAGCACCCACCAACCACCCACTCAAACATCCTTAAAGGTGGATAATGACTTATTCGGCTTTTTGTTTTAAAATTGTCCAGAATTTATCTATTTTACGTTATACTAAGTAAATACATTATCAGAATGAAGGCATTATCACTTTTGGCCATGTCCTAAAAAATTTCATCAGTTACTCGCATCTTCATCTTTCTTAAAATCTCACCCATTGGCAAGCTAAGGACTCCTCTGGCTATAGATACATTGCTAAAATTAGGAGTGAATACTGTAACAAAGTAACTACAAAAATGAATATATAATATATATATATATAAATATATATATATATATATATATATATATATATATATATATATATAAATGCGCATAATTAAGCTATATAAATTTCTAGGTAAAGGTAACAACAGCATAGTAGGAGGAAAGTCTGATGGGAATAAATTTTGTGTATGTAATGTATGGCTAGGCTCTTCAAAGTCTGACACAAAAGATGTAAGTTAAATTTCTGGGCAATGAAGTTTATTTTATAGAGCATCTCCATTCTTCTACTGGGAAACTATATCCCTCTTAGCGTATGTTGGCCCATACAGAGCAGGGTCGAAGCAATCCACCTACTTATGATGACATTTGCACCAATGAGTGTGTAAAACATTTACAAATTAATCACATTTTGAGCAGGAATGTATTATTACTTGGTAGAATTGAAAACATTTAAAAGGAACAGAGTTATGGAAAAAATTTTCAGTTGAGCATAAAAATATACATTGTCCAGAACATATATGTATAATTTTAATGTGGTTCAACATTTGAGAATTATCTAACACTGCTTACAGAAAAAGTGCTAAAACTCAGATTGGCAATATTCAAATGGGTAAGTTGTTACACAATGTTTTTTAAAAAGTTACAACTCTAGCCATGAAACATTCCATTTTGTAATACTAGTACTTCTTAACTAAATGACTACAAGGAAAAATATATCTCATGACACAGTGAAATCATCACTCGTCAATTTTCTGCAAATACAGTTATAGCTATAGTCTTAAAGCTTGTTCATTTGCCTTGCTTTTGATGAAACAAATATCCATCTATCTTGAATAGAAGTCGAGATATATTTGCAGTTCAACGTTTCAGTTCCAGAAACCAGTATGGCTTATTTACAGTCCAATCCTCACATCAAAATGATATGTGACAAAGAAAGATCTGCGGCCATGAAAAAACAAAAAAAGTTGATTTTAGAAAAGTGTGTCATACACGTTTCTTGAACTGAACCGTCGCATTGCAGGAGGTTGTGGTCACCTATTGTCCGAGGTAAAATTAAGGAGAAAATGGCCTCTAAATTTTTTTGCGATTCCCAAAGCTTGAGTGACCTTTGAAACTGAAAATTTACTTTTTTTTTGGCTTAAACTTAAATCAACAGTTTTCCAAAAAGATTCACACATAAATATGTGTTGCGACGCGGTGGAATCGGACGCTTGTCAATTTTTCGGCATTTGGAGATATTGGTATCATCTGAAAGCTTATCCATTTGCCTTGCTTTCAAGGAAAAAATACTCATATATCTTGAATAGAAGTCAAGATAGTTGCGATCAAAAGTGGTGAGGTCACCTGGTTTCAGTTGTGAAATTAGCGAGAAAAGGGACGCCAAAGTTCGGTAACTCCAATAGCTAAAGAGTCCATGACAACAGAAAAATTACTGATTTTGTACCTTTAATCAATGTTTTTCTGTAAAATTCACATGGGAATGTGTTTTTATAAGGACATAAAAGGGGTTGAGCCAAAAAACATAAATTCAATAAATATTGCCAAACTGGCAGAAAAATGCCTGTTTCTCTAATGTGGTTATTTCGACGAGCGCCTGATTTGACCACGATGCCTCATATATGTTTTCAAATAGATATTAAAAAGTCCAAAATAAAAAATTCGAAAAAAAGTGAACATGGATGGTTTGTTTTCATTATTTAGATGAGTGCCAATTTCACAACACTGCGACACGTTTAGCAATGAAACACACATGAAGATGAAAGAGATGGAAGATGATTGATGAAGAAAGAAAGCCACAGCCTTAATCCTAAGGGAGAGATTTTGATACATGCAATAAAGAAGCTGAGTAAGCAAATATGTAACAGAACAAGTAAGTGGCTACCGTGGCTGGGCCTCTATCGTTTGGTCAGTCAATAAGTTAGTAAATATGAAGGTGGTCAGTAAGTACTCTGAAGGTCACTTAGTAACAAAGTAAATATATAGTTAAACAATCATCAGTCCAAAAACAAATTTGGACACAAGGAAAAGTTTAACAAATGACAAATAATTAAATGAATAGGTAGTTCACACAATTAAGACATTTTAATAGGAGAATTTTGAAACTGTTGCTCAAAACAATGTAAGTCATATATAGGCTTCCATCAAGACAACTGATTGAGAGAACAAAACATGCCAGGAAGGATGAGAAAACATCAGATCCTGGTAGGGTTTGAACTGGAAACCTTCATATTTTTATTACGTAAGAATATTTGATCATAATGTATGGTATGTTAACAATTAATTGTACAATTTTAAAGGTAAATTTTCAACAACAATAAATCACAGCACGGAAAAGATTTGTATTGCAATTGGTAAACAACAAACTTTCAAGATGAGTTTGAAAAATCTAAAAGTTTCAGCTTCCAAACAATCATACAAGCAATTAGTCAAAACCCACGCCCAGCATGGTATTCATAAAGCAAATCTTCATCAGAACTGTGATAAAACAGGAGATGAAATAAAAATAAATTTAAAATGTATTATAGAAAACCTGTTGAGTAAACCATTTTAGTACTTATGATATGGGAGAAAATCGAAATAAACTAGTCTAACCTGCGTAAAACAGCCACCCATTGTCAAAGAGAAAAGTGGCCGTATAAAACAGGTGGCAGTCTTAGGCAGGACCGATCAAAATGAAGAAAGCAAAGTATTTGCTTCTGAGGTCCAAACCGGGGCTGATCTCAGGCTTTGGACTGCCATAAGGCGACTTTGAAAAAGGAGGGTGGAAAGGGTGTAAGAAGGGAGTTTTTTTTGTTGTTGCTGTTTTGTTGGTTTGTTTTTTGTTGTTGTAGCGTTTATTTTGTGTAAGGGGAAAATAACGAATGTAAGACGATGGAGACTCAGTGCAATGGTAAAACAAACACTGGGTCCCCCGCCACTCTGCGAGCGACGCTTCTGTCGTAGGTTCAAGTCATCGTCCATTGTCACTTTGTTCCAGATTAGGTAAATAAAATAGTGACCAGTCATCTCACACGATTTGTGCATGTCTCTCATGCACAAAAGAACAGAAAGCTATGATTGTTGTGATGAGTGAAGGCATGAGGGGAGGGGGGGAATATGTGAGCGTGCCTTGGGAAAGGTACCAAAACACGCATTTGTTCGAACTGAGATATCAGGCTTTGAAGGTCAAAAATAGAATTTTTGACAAAAACTAAGTTCCATTAAAAATGGATTCTTAAGCAATCAATATATCGATATTTACAAGGACTTGAGTTTAATTTTGCTTTAAAATACATTTTTAAAGATGTTTTATAACACGAGGTATACTCCATAATCCCAAAAACTGTGTGAGAAAATTTGTTTTTAGATTTAGTAGAGGTTTTACGGCGCTCGCAACTGCATAAGGTCATTTGAACGCCAGAAGATTAGAGGTGTTACAAGAGGGTAACAAACATAAAAAAGAAGAAGGGGAGATAAGGATGATAGATGTTTGATAGGGAAGAAGAAGCGAACCACATTAGAGCACCCGCCAGCCACCCACAAAATTGGTTTTCCGAGTACATACCGCAGATGGTTTCTTTTGCCCATTCATAAAGTCGACCCAATCACAATGCATACCAAAATTTAGGTCATTCTCTCCCCTCTCTAGTGGCGAGGACTGCGCATGAATATGTGGAACGCGTAAACAAAGTGAAGCTTTGCGCATCCACACCCTTTCAGTTTTTTGGAGAGCAAGTTGTATCGCATATTTCTTCCCTGCGCAAACCTAGATCTAATTTCTTGAAAATTTGTGCTCAAGGTGGTGGCGAATTTGTTTTGAAGACGTAATATAAACATTTTGAAGCTGTTCTTTTATCTTAGCAGCTTTATAAAGTTGGTTTGTGAGTAGCGAATGTGTTGTCAGGTCCTCTATCTATATGAAGCAGAAACAAAGGGGAAACTTTGAAGCCGTTCTTCTCAAAACTTTGTTTCCATACCCTGCCTTACAAAATCACCATTATCTCAATAACTACTCAAGATATCTTACAAATTCAAAAAGCATATTGTTCAGAAATGATCCCTTTACATGAAAATGCAAAAAAAAATGGGATTCTTCCAAATGCATCATTTTGTACCTTTCACCAGGCACACACACATACACTTTACTTCTACCTTGGAAAGTACAGCACAACCAAGTGAAAATCATAATTACAAGATTGGGCTCTAAAGTTCTGCGTCCCGAGGAAGCACCAGGATATTAGAGGGGACCAAGACGACCTCTGCGAGTGTGGCCTCTGGTACGAGTGGGCAGCATTGGAATGAGATTTTGAAGGTTCTCATATGGAGGTGGAGGAGGGTAGTTGTCGTACATTGTTGAGGAATTGTTGGCGGGAGACACAAACTCGTATTCTGGTGGCTCATCCATGCTGCTTTCGGTCGGTTCGACATACACGTTCTCCTGTCCCTGGTACTGGACTCTGGAGGAAAGCTCGTAGATTGGCTCACTATTACTGGACGCACTTGCACGCGGCACTTCCACGTTGTCATACTGCTCGGCGCTGACACTGCTGGTCACCTCACCTGGAAATAAAAACAGGAACAATAGCAATACATACAGAAATAAAAGCAAAAAGGATAACAATATGTAAATAAAAACAACAACAATAATAATAAGCACGGAAATAAAACAACAATAATAATACATACACAAAAAAAAAATCAACAATAATGATACGTAAATAAAACAACAATAACAATACACACAGAAATTTTAAAAAGACAATAATAATACACACGGAAATAAAAACAACAAGAATAACGATATTAAGGAAACTCTCTTTCTCCCCTCTCTCTCTCTCTCTCTCTCTCTCTCTCTCTCTCTCTCTCTCTCTCTCTCTTTCACTCTCTTTCACTCTCTCTCCCAAACTACTTCAGTAAATTGAATTTGGGTTAAGTTTAATTAGATTTAGCCTTGCTGATGCCCCCTTTTTTTTTGTTAGGAGCACATTTTAAATACAAAGAATATCTTTTAAAAAATCGGACCAGAAAATATGTTCACTATTTGCATTTTTCATCATGTTTGTCTTCACTATGTACATGGTAGACTGTATGATAGCAACATTGATAGTAGTTCCTTAACAGAGTTTTGCCAATTCTGCACTGTGACTATCCAACCACTCAAACCTGATTTGGTAAATACTTCATAAAAAGCAAAAACTAGCCACATGAAAAAAATTATGGCAGCACTGTAGATCCGCTAACACTAACAGAAGACAAACACTAAATAAAAATTCCCACTTTATAAATGTGTTCCCTTTATAAATGTGTTATAAATCATGAAGACATCTGGATTTACTAAACTAGCAGAAAAGGTGTTCATCACTACCCAGCACAATTAAGTAAAAAAGCACCAAATAAACCAAAAGGGCCACAGCGAAGGCCCCAGTCATGAGTAAGAGACACATCTTACAAAGTCGATATTTACTCATACTTTTTCATCCTCTGTAGCCGCATTTTTCTAAGGAAAGACAACTCTGCAGCTCTTTCAATTGGGATGTTATAATTTCTCAGGGTTTCCTAACTCCCTCAATCCATCTTGTGCGTGGCCTACCGCTTCCTTCATAGCCTGATTACTATTGGCTCTAGAGGCTGGCTGGCTAGATGACATTCGTACCATGTGGCCAAACCATTTTATTCTGTGTTTTTCTATGAAATGCAAGCAGGACTCCGTGCCTATAATTGTTCTTACTTCTTCATTTCTCCGCCTGTCTCTTCTTGTGATGTTAAGGGTTTTGCAGAGACAATTCATCTCACAGGCAGTGATTTTACTTTCACGGGTTTTATGTAATATCTAGGTATGGCTCTTGTACCATAATGTTGGTATAAATATTGAAGTGAGAAGCTGTCTCTTTGTGTCCATGGACATATTTTGTTGAGATAGAAGCGTGAGAGCTGGTAGGTGATGGTGTTAGCTTTTTGAGTTTACATTTCTCTGTCTATGGACCCATTTTTTTAAAAAGTGTTGCCAAGATATTTAAACTCCTGGACCTGTTTTAGCTTTTTACTACTGACATGAATGTTCAGGGGATTATGGTTTCAGCTGACTTTCATAACTTTTGTTTTGATGTGCTAATTCTAGAGTTGGGTCGGGCTCACTAAATCAGCGTCCAAGAGTAGCGAACGGTTCGCTGGAACTACCCGCAAACGAGTGGACGGGTTATGAGCCGTCCACTTGTGAAGATTCGTTAGCTACTCCCTACTCGCTACACATCGGACAGAGAAAACAGTTCCTTTAGCAAGCAGGCCAACGGGCGGATGGAGAGACTCCATGACTCCATGCATTCAAGCCAGTGGCAAGCGGCGAGCGGGCGGACGGCGAGCGGGTGGACAGACGGGGAGCGACTCCTTCCATTGGATACTACTTATACTCTTCCAACCCCCACCCCCAAAAAAATCTCCCTCCTGCCCCATAATGTAGCTAGGCGTTCAAGGCGGAAATTTCTCTACCCCCCCTCCCCAGTTTTAAAGAAACTGAACAAGGGGCAAAAACTTTACTTTCGATTTTCTCAAAACAGCATTTTTTGGGACAGCCCCCTTGTGCTTAAGAGCGACCAATTGTGGAGCGGGCCCAAGAAACGAACCGACTTGAGGCAAAGATACTATACCGCAGAGTATACTATCTTTGCTTGAGGTCCGCAGTCCACTCGCTGAGAGAGTAAAACTGTGGAGCGGACCCATAAAACCAACTGTCTTGAGGCTCACAGTCCGCTCCCAAGGCCGTCCGTTACCCGCTCGCTCTGACTGAGTAAGCAAGTAACTAAGCCGTCCGTCCACTCGCCCCAACTCTAGCTCATTCTCATGTCAAATTTCTCGCAGTTGGGTAGTGTGATTTTGAATACTTTGTTGGTTTGAATGAATAAGACATTGGTCATTTGCAAACAGAAGTTAATTTAGGCTTTGTGGGCTTTGGTTTGCATCTTGCATTATTGTGTCCATGTATATTATAAAAAGGAGGGTAGATAAAACTCATCCCTGTCATACTCAAGATTTAACTTTCAACCAGTCTTGTATTGCCTTCCTTTGTTATTACTGAGCTTCTACTGTTGGCATATAGAGCTCTAACATTGTCTTACAGTCGTCCTCTTACACCATACTTTTCAAGTGTCTTCCACAGTCTGAAACGGTTTACTCTGTCAAATGGCCACCAGAGATAGAGAAGATGCTATGGCAAAAATAGTCAAAATATAGAGCAGTATGAACTTGGAAGTTAGAGTTTCTCTATACAGTATAATCCACTTATATTGACAGCCTATGTATTGACATTTTGACAAATCGACATATTTTCCAATTACAAAATTTTTCCTTCATTATCTTCACTAAACAATTTCTCTTATATCGATTTTTTTTGGGGGCCCACTCTGCTTTATCGACATGCTTCCTGGGTACCTGGCATAACCTACGAACATAAATTGGGAAGAAGCCAAGTTAACGGTCAACGCATTAGTTCTTCATTAAGTCTGCGTACTCGCCAAGTAGCCTATTTGACACACCAGGCTTTAGTAGGTCATGTAGAGCCTACACAGTGTAGTCTCCAACACAGTACAGTGCCTAACCTACGTGAGCATCTCGCGCGCTGGGCATCACCTCCCTACCCCCACTCCCGATCTCCGACTCCCCTTTCCCATCCCATTCTCAGTCTATCGCTGGCAAGTGCCACGGTCAGTGAGTCAGTGCCTCGCCTTTCCATTTTCCCCAACAAAAAAGCTGCCATAAACGGGCCTTACAAGGATGCTACAACAAAGTTTTCACTGATGAGTAGTGTGCGCCCCTTCAGCCTCTTGTTAGTTTCACTGTGTAATTGTGTAAGAATCAAGGGAAGCAACCAGCTTAAAAAAGTAGTGTTGTCTTTTTACTGCTTACCTCCCCTTGTTTTTTCATCTTTGGCTTTATATCTTCATTTATTGATGTTTTTATATATCGATATCAAATCCACTTCCCAAAGCATGTCAAAATAACCGGATTATACAGAACCTGTAAAAGTTCATTTTAGCCAGTGTGGTCACCAAGTGTAAGCCAACTCACAAACCAATTAATATGGTGGCCAACATGATTCTACTAGTAGGTAGCACTAATGGTCATAATTACGGTGAAGTGGCAAGAATCACATGAGATGAATAAAGGAACAGTCAAGACTTTTAGTTATCTTCAAAATGCAAAAAATAAAGAACTCAAACGACACACCTCCTTGATTTGGGTTTCCATTGTGGCTGTTGGATCCATGTTCTGTATATGGCGGGGGATCTGCACCATCCACAAGATCATAGCTATTGAGAACAGGAAAAAAATAATGCAACACATCAGATAGTGAAGAAAGTGCTCAGAATAAACAACAAATGTATTGCATCGTGGTAAAATCAGGCGCTCATCAAAACAATGAAATCGAAAAAAACAACATTTACTATTCATTGAGCATTTTTAACTTAATTTTTCTTTTTTGGAACAACAACTTTTGTCCATTTTAATACACATTCCTGCTTGACTTTTATTGAAAAAATGTTGAACAAAGAAACAAAAAATGTAAATTTGCAGTTTCCAAAGCGTAGGAAGTCACCTAACTTCGACAGCCATTTTCTCGCTAATTTTACCTCTGACACCAGGCGACCCCCACCTTCTTCAATCACAAATATCTCAACTTGAACGTTCGACATTTTTTCATCAAAATCAAGGCAAATTATCAGGAATTAAGATTATACCAATAACTCCAAAAGTCCAAAAACTCTCAAGCACCTAATTCCCGCGTGTTGCAACACAAATAAATATAATCATTCTCAAAGAACCAAATGGACCCTCACCAATGGTTTACTTATGTCAGACTACAATGTTAGCATCTTTTTTTCACAGATTTAAAGTTGTCTTTTACACGGTCAGCTTTCATATTCACAAGTTCACTACACTCTGAAAGGGTGAACATCTTTTTTCACAAGTTTACCTTTGACAAAGTCAATATCGTCATTTACAATTATTAGTAATTATCACCATGTTTACTAGGAAAGGCTTTGGCTGGATCTGCATCTTTCTTGGTTATTGGCAAATTATAGGGAGGGGAGGAGGGGGGGGGGGTGTTAAACAGTTTCACATCTCTTTCAATATGTTTCCTGGGATCTTTTATTGAGTCTGCATCCCTATTGATATTAAAAGGTACACTGTTGCAGTTGTAGCATGTTTCTTCTTTGAGAAAAGCACCTTCTCCAAGATATCACCCCTCCACTCATTTCCTAACAGCATCTGTGGTGTTGCAGTTAGGCACTTCCCTATCGTATGCAGGAGATCTGAATTCGATTCCCGAATGAAAAGAAAATTTTTATCAAGTGTCTCAATCTTTCAGCTGGGATTCATCCCTCTCAGCCTGGGTGGCCCTGACAGGGAGGGTCAGAAGCCTGTCTTCAACATGATCCAAATTGTGTCTCGAGGTTGTGTAAAAATACCTACATTTAAACACAATGTTTTTCTTTAATTGAAAATAAATGCAATAGGTTTCTTCTTTAAATGCCTATCTGAAACAGACTTCAACAATGGTTTGCCACTCATTTCTCTACTTGGACATTCTCAAAAAAACAACTATACTATCCTGGTCTTATCCTGTAACCTATCTGTTCAAGTTCTATAAGCAAGATAGTCTTGGACTACTTCTGTCTCTTTTGCTTTCTATATTACTAGATGTTCAAAGGTTTAAAGTTAGTCCAAGTGTCCCAGCAACCTAATTGTTTCCATTGGTGTCAACCTTGGGAAATGGCCATTGTCCCAAACAGCTGGCGATGTGCCAAAATCATACCGATACCCAAGAAGAATAAGCCTGCAGACAAGATTGGGTCCTACCGCGCCATCAGTCTCACCAGCTGCCTTGCTAAGCTGATGGAGACCCCCATCAAGACCCGCCTGATGTACTTTCTGGAGAGCAACAACTTGCTGAGCAACAATCAATTGGGCTTTCACAAGTTAAGGTCCAACGAAGACATAAATCAGTGTCCAAGCAGCCATAAACTCACTTGAGCAGTGGGCAAAGCAAAACAAGACGGAGATCAGTACATAGAAAACAGAGTGCACCCTCTTCACCACCAGCACCCACGAGGCCAAGCGAAAACCAGCACTCTTGCTAAAAGGCTCCCCCATCACCTTCAACTCCAACCCCACCTTACTTGGGGTCACACTGGATCATACTCTATCCTCCAACGCCCACATCCAAAACCTTGACCTAAAACTGTCAAGCAGACTTTGACCATTGAAAGGCCTTACAGGCACCACCTGTGGTGCCTCAAGGGAATGCATAAAGCCAGTATATTATGCCACTTTTCCGTCAGCTATCGACTATTGTGCCTCTGCCTACATGCCTCTTGTCAAACCTTCCAACTTGCAGAAACTGGAAAGAAAGCAGAATGAAGCAGCAAGAATCATCACGGGCTGCTCAAAGGATACTCGTGTCATCGAAGCAGACATTTTACAACTAAGGCATAGAGCTGATGCCTTGACTGCCATCTCACTCGAGAAGTCCATGCGTCTGCCAGCAACAAACCAATGCAGAGCCTCTGCAACAAAATCAGTGCCCACGCGGACAGGCAAGTCAAACTGGAGAAAGCATGCCCAGAACCTCGTAGCCAAAACTGAACTGGATACGTACCCACGTGAGGAGCTGGTAGTTTTACCCCCCCCCCCAACCATGGAAGGCTGCCTCATGCAACGTGACTTTTAGCACCGATCTTGTCGTCAACTGCAAGCCTGCTAATGAACCAGCAGTCAGGAAAACAGCAGCTGAGGCTACCATTCGATCGTTCCCCCTGCCCGACGTGAAGTCTGGACTGATGGTTCAGCTAAGCACCATACCGAATATGGAGGCAGTGGAATTCTGATCAAGACCAGTGATACCGAACTCGACCACCGTGTACCCGCAGGCCGGTATTGTTCCAGCTACAGGACCGAGCTTGTAGCCAGGGATGTAAACAGGTTTTGAAAAAAAAGCCAGAAAATATATGTCACGCGCATGAACTGAAATAAGAATAAATCTACAGTGAGACTAAAGTAAAGAATATTTGCTTCTTTCCCTCTATTACAAATATAATCTCTATTTAGTATATGTATTGTTTATTGTAGACTTTTGTTAAAAGCTGGGGCCCAAATGGGAAGTCCGCCGAAAAAAACGGAAAAAGCCGGAAGATTTACATCCCTGTGTAGCTCTCGACACAGCGCTGGGCATGCTCGTTTCACTACGTACAGCAGGCAACCTTCCAAACAGTGTACGCATCCATGTATACACTGACTCCAGGTCAGCAGTCATGTGCCTCTCATACAGCCTTACCAGCTAATCGGAAAAGGTGACGTGCTCAATCTGGCAGCGTCTGCACACCCTCTGTCAACGCTCCGAATGTTCCATTCACTTACAGTGGATTCCAGGCCACGCTGGACTGGCTGGGAACGAGGAAGTTGACAGCATCGCCAAAGAAGCAACAGCGCTTACCTAGATTAACACGCCAATCGATTTCTCGACAGCTAAAGCCATCATCCACCGATCGACCCGCGCAAAGTGAAAGAGAGAGGCGAAACCCAAACTGCCGTTTGCCCAGCCGCCATCATACCAGCTTGAGGCCTCGCTCAGACGACAGTACCACCGGCTTCTCTCCCAAATGAGAGCTGGTGGAAAATCGCCCAAGCTGAGATCATATCTCCACAAAATTGCGCCAGCAGACAACCCAGATCCATCCTGTCGAGCCTGCAAGGAGGAGGACGAAACTATGGACCATGTGTTCCTGAGAAGTGCTGCCAACTATCGTGCCAGACCCCGTCTGCTGGAACATTTCAGTAACACACTTTCAGCACTTTTCAAGGACCCCCGGGCAAGTGTTGAGTTCCTGCGTCGTGTCGGCATCGCTGACCGTTTATGATGCCACAGAGCCAGAAGAAAGAGAGAGAGAGATTGGAGTCAACAGTTTCCAGTGTCTTTAAGCCTTCGAGCCCTAGGCTCCTGATCCTAATTGTACCCAAAACCTGGCCTTCTGAGCTTTTGGGTTCAAGGAGAGAGCACTTCATAGTGAAAAAACTCAGAAAATCAGTACAGAATGTGATCAAAACATGTGTAAAAGAGTGACATTGGTATCCTATAATAGCTTGTTGACAGAAACTGACGTTCTGACTGATCGAAAATTGCTGTCTTTTTCGGCCCAAAAATTCAGTGCTCTTTCCTCATACCGGTCAACTGGCACGGTGCTATGGATTATAGTTGTTACAAGCTCAAAGGTGTTTATCTTCAGGTTCTAATAATTAATAACTAAGAGCTCTGACCTGGGAGGAGAGTCCTGGCGCTGATATGTGAGGCTGAGGTCATGTTCCGTGGCTGGATACGGAGGTAGTTCCGGATCATACTCATGGTTGGCATAGGCAGCGTAAGGAGGCGGGGAGCTGAAAGTGTCCACTATAACTGGCCTCACAATGTATATGGAAGACTCTTGTCTGAAAAAAATAATAAAAAGCAAAACCTTTGAACAATCACATTTTCCCCTCTAGGGCAGCTCTTGTGGATCAAATCTATGGTTCTGTTAGTTTTTAAGTTTAGTTTTTAAAGAGTTTTACGGCACTTGCAACACAATAAGGTCATATAGAGGTGTTACAAGAGATTAACAAACACAAAAAAGAAGGAGGGGAGATAAGGAAGATAGATGTTTGACAGGAAAGAAGGAGCAAACCAGCTTTCCTGACCCCTTTCATCAACACTATATTTAGATCATTTAGGAGAAAGGCTGCTTTGACCCTTCCTGTCAGAGCCACTATCTGAGCTAAGTGAGATACAAAATCCAAACAGACAGACATACTAAAAAAAAACCACCCCCAAAACCCTAGGTCAAAACTTCCCACTCACGAATGAAAACTTATTATGCTTTCTGCGTACAACAGGATGAATCTAACCGCTATGCTGCTCCAAGCAGACAAAATGGAAATTTTTTATTTTTTCATTTTTGGCGCCAATTTTATTTATTTGCTAAATTAATACCCTGATCAGTTACCCTACTTGTATGAAAAAGCCTAAGTGAAACTGTGACTAGATTATTAATACATTGGAATTCAAATTTCGAAAGAACGCATTTTCTTTGATGGTTACACTGACAAAAATGCCTTTTTTTCTCAAAACTTTTGAGAATAAAAAAAGGTGTTTTGTCAGCATATGGTTGCATGCCATATATATATCGACATGACGTACAGATAGTTGAAGAAACGCTGAAGAGTACCAATGTAATGACAAGAATATTAGTTTGGGACCGTCTTTGGCCGGCTACAACTGCGAGTCGCCCCTCTACTCTAACAAAGTCTTAAAACACCAAGGCCATTCTAAAAATCCAATCGTTATGCTTCAACACACCAGTTTACAGCTTTCCAAGTTAAAAAAAAAAAATTATTTTGTTTTAGTCAGTGTTTTACAGAATTTGCAAAACATTAAAAGTCATATAAGTGCCAACGGTAAGAGATAATGTTTACCCAAGTTGACCAATGGGTAGGCCTAACAATAAATTTTCAACTGCTGGTGGGGGAAGTGTGATCCGTCATAACCTATAAGCCGCGCCAACAACTCACGCACAAATCGTATGTGAGGTGACTGGTCACTGTTTTGTTTACCTAATCTGTAACAAAGTTGACGTGAACTTGCGACAGAAGCGTCGCTCGTTCTCCGAGTGGTGGCGACCCTCGTGTTTGTTTTACCATGGCACTTGGTCTTCGTCTTACTTACATAATATTTTATTTATTTTACCCTTATCACAAAATAACAAACCAACAAAACAATAAAACAAAAAAACTTCTAAGAATGCCACCTGTCTTATACGGCCACTTTTCTCCTTGACAATGGACGGCTGTTTTACCCAGGTTTGACTGTACTTTGAAGTAGCCTAGTGAATACGTTAGGCTACAATACATACACAGGTTACATTCCAGAAACTATAGTGCATAAAGTAATCAGAGTATATGAAACAGCTAATACATTACAATACATACACAGCACGGCTGTTAAAACCCCACTGAAAGTGGTGGCTGAGCACCGGTCTGACCTCCCGCGTGAAGGTAATAAATCAGTGTCAGTCGGCCACTCCCGTACTTAACAACCGTTACGATAGCGATGCCCGCCGCCGTGCCTGCGTAACTCGGTTCCGGTAATTTTCGTATCACTTTCTCTCGTTATTTCTCCTGATCTGATAAACCTAGAAGCCAGTTTAACATTTCATTTTAAAGACCATCTTAAGACTAACAAGACGAACCCGCTTTCACTTCGGAAATCTCACTGGTGTTATAGCATTTAAGCACTTTGCAGTACAAGTGTTCAAAAGAACCGCCACCGAAAGAAACGCCTGGCGCAGGGCCGTCCGTATTGCCAGCAGAAACAGTGATACAAACTACAGGGAGAGGCTGACTACCAGAAGAGAGAGGAGACATAATCCAACCACCCCATCCACGACATTCCAGTGTCCCCACTGCAACAGACATTGTACATCCAGGATCGGATCACACAGCCACATGTGCGTCCACAGATGAGCTGCAGGATTCATCGTCATCTTCGGCAACGAAGGACTACCTACACAGTACAAGTGTTTTGTTCATCTAAAGTTGCATTTTGAATTATATTCCATTTTGGAGTTTATTTTCTCAAAAGCTTAACTCAGATTTTCACTCAGATTTCTGTGCTTCACTTGAGGTAGCAATACTTGAACTGTGAGCAAGTGTTATTTGTGAGAAGTGAATGTGTGATTTTATAGGATTTTTTTTTAAAAGGGTACCCACTCCCCTGTGATTCACTCGGATGTGATCTTTCATTTCTCTTCTTAAATATCGCGTTATTTTTCCAACATTTTTCTTATCGACTTTTTGGAATACTTTAGCCCAGTTAAGAAATGGAGAAACATTCAGAGGATTCGCATTTTCAAAAGGTGCACGAACTTTGAGGAACTTGTGGTGGCACAAGACTGTCAGTCAAGCAGAAGGCACAGAAAAGGCGACCCCTGCAGTGTTCTAAATTTGCGTCAGACATTCTCTTGGCCTTTGGTGTTAGCATTACGACGGGCTCACAGACAGTACATTCAAAAACCATCTGCAAAGCTTGCGTGGACAAGAGAAGACATACAAAGAAACATGGCTATCAGGGCACTATAACACAGGCAAGGGAACTCGCCGAAAGAAGTAGCCATACTTTGTGCGAGTATGACCCAACATTGCCAACTGATAGCTGCCCCACATGCTTGCGCCATTATGAGACTTCTTTGGGCAACTAGACCAAAAAGGGTAGCCCCACACAGCTAGCTGCAATCTCAAAAAAATGCACACGACACACAACAATAACATCAGATTCCATTTGTACAGACACAACAGCATCATCACAGGCTGACACAGATGTGAGTGCACACACACTCACACCAGATACAACACAGTGACACGGCAACACCAGGAGACAACACAGTAAGACTCACCGACACAGTGAACAAATCAATAGAGACTGAAATAGGAGATGATTACAGTAACACGACGGAGGCACAGTTAATGGGACCCCCACCCCGCCCTATTGTTTGCTCTACACCAGCCAAACCCAAACCAAATGTAGCAGACATGAAAACATCACAAGCATTCAAAACTGACAGATACTTTCATTAATCTTTACAAAAATCACCTTCACAGCCACTAGAAAAAGCTGAAGAATAACTACACACAAATTTTGTGAGACGAAAATTGCATAACTCAAAAACAAACACGTTTGAATGCAAAACAGGAGGGCAGTCAGTACTTCTAGCACGACCAAAGAAATCAAGGAAACAATTATCACAGGCAAAAACAAGCATAAAATGAAAGACGGCCAAATTACTTTCCATTGTTTGGGAAAGCATTGTAGGCACATCCAAAGACAACATCGTCACAGAACATGCAAATGAACTGAAGAGTCCATATGGACACAAAGTTTGTGAAAAAGCCAGGTTCAGTTGCGCACCTCAAATGACAAATGAAGAAATTTCAGCAATGAAAGAAACAACTGACCTTTCATGGAGCCAGTTACACCACCTGAGGCGTTTTTTGAAAGAAGCTGGTCTATCAATGCCCAACGAGCACAAACAGAGGCCATGAAAAGAATATCGGAGGGTAACATTCTCACAAAACAAGTAGATTTTGTTGATAGTTCGGGACAAAAATGTAGGACAGCATTTGCCAGAGTTTCAAACATAGGTGAGTTTGTTACTGAACTCCTTAACCAGCACAAGCACCACCAAACACTTACATGGCATGACTCTACTATTCCAGAAGATGAAATATAGGTGAAATTGGGGGGGGGGGTCACGGAAAGAGTAGCTTGAAATTTACAATGCAGATTATTAACACTGACAAACCGAATTCCAAGCACAACACGTTTGTCATCGCTATGGCAAAAATCAAAGACAACTATGATAATCTTAAGATATGCATGTCTCTACTGGAGCTTCAGCTTGAAGAGCTTTCAAATTTAGAATGGGACAGGAAGAAGATAATTGTTTTTCTTTCAGGGAACTATGACTTTATTTCTAAAATCTATGACCTCTCTCATGTTTGTGGTGCCTCACGACCAAATCTCAACTGGTGACATGACAACAAAAATATTTCCTCCCTCGTTCTTCAGCAACTATGAAAAGCAAACACAATCGGTTTTTTTTAATATGGCCATGGCCTAAAGAAAAATGTTGCTTGTTTTCACAATAGTTTACACCTCCCACTTATAAACATTAAAATCATTAAAGTAGCACCAACATACCTTCATATCCTTCTGGGTATAGTTCTGAACCACTATAGTTTGCTAGAGACAGCGATACACACAATAGACATACAGCCAAGTGAGCAATCAGAGAAAGACGACTTAAAAGGGGTTTCGTCCTCACTACGTACATATGGAAAAAACTGGAGTAGTGAAGAGGAACTAAACGGTAAGATTAGACAATTAGAAGGTTGCGTAATACTTTCTGACTCTGAAGAGGAGAGAGTTAACATTCAAAACCAACTGACAGAGAAAGAAGACAAGTTGTCTGAGTTAGAGCATGAACCCCTTAGCCCTAGGACTGGCCCTATCTGTTTTCATTTCGACACCATACTAGACTCACAAAACATCACTCCACAGGCATATCACAGCCGCCCTTTCATAGGCAATCACTGCCACAAATACATCATGAGTTGCGTTTATAAAGACCTCACTGCATTTGTTGTAAAAGAAACAGTATAAAACACACACAACCAAAACATAATTGACACCGCTTACACTCTCAGAGAAAAATTCAATCAGTTAAACAACGCATTTAGGGACGTTCACATCCACATCTCACATGGCCAACCAGTGTCAAAAGACAGACAACCACACATTGAAACATGTATCAAAACTCATATGTCATTATACAGGAGACACTTTAGTGAAAAGGTACTTCCCAAACACTACATTCTAGAAAACCACTGTTCCCGTGGATACAAACATATGGGTTTGGTTTGGCTCTACATGGGGAACAGGGTGGTGAACTTATCCATGCTTCTGTGGCAAAACTGGAGAGAAGAAGAGCTGGGATACACAATACTGAACAGCAGCTGAAAGTTGTCATGCAATCTCAGCACCTCATGTCAAACCTAGACCTTTGTCCGACGTGCCTCCAACAAAGAAAAAAAGGTGACAGTGTAATCAACTCTTCACCACTCCAAAACCGTGGACTTCCCACAAAAACAGCAAAGTGAGTTTTATATTTGACCATTTCTGAAGTATTTTAAGTGAATTTGAAGTAATGTTTTAAGTTTTGTTTGATTGAAATTTTTATTTTAACATATACACCCCCCAAGGGCAATGTTAAAATATGAGCCATTTTTGGAACGCTATATGTGAGGCAGCGTGGTGGAATCAGGCTCTCGTCAAAATAATCAAAATGAAGAAACTAGTATTTTTCCGCAGGTTTATGAATTTTTATGGAATGTTTGTTTTTTGGCTCAACACCTTTCGTGCACATTAAAGAACTCATTTCCGAGTGAATTTTTCAGAAAAACGTTGATTAAAGGCACAATAAAAGTAAATTTTCAGTTACCACAGACTCTTAAGCTAAGGAAATAATTTATCTTTGGCGGTCATTTTCTCTCTAATTTTACCTCTGACAACAGGTGACCCCCACTTCCTTCATTTGCAAATATCTCGACTTGTATTCAAGATAAATGGATATATTTTTTCATCCAAATAAAGACAAGTGAACAAGCTTTAAGATGATACAAATTACTCTACATGCCCAAAAATTGACGAGAGCCTGATTCCACCACGCTGCCTCACATATATATTTATCGGTTTTTCATATAGAAGTTCCCTGTTGTTCCAAACGGGCAAATAAAAAGACAACAAAGTCACCAATCGGCGTATTTTGCAAGTTTAATTTTCCTAAAAATGAACTGAACAACGCTGTCAGCGGGACACGGGGAATTCCCCTGGCCGTGAGTTCATGACCCGGTGACCGGGGTCAGATTACAAGATGTGGCGCGCTGGCTGCCTGTGAATTAAAGTACCTCTTCCTAACAGCCATGACAGGTTATATTCCTGAAACATCTCCATAAAAACATCCCTATAGATTACATTCAAGAAACCACTCCACAGACTTTCAGGTTACACTCAAGAAATATCTCAATTGACTCTCAGGTTACATTCAAGAAACACCTCTATAGACACTCAGGTACCTCTATAGACTCTCAGGTTACATTCAAGAAATATCTAGACTCTCAGGTTACATTCATGAAATATCTATATAGACTCTCACCTGTTCATTGTCACACTAACTGTCCCATTCTGCCGTTCGTGGTTGGCCTGTCTCGTTTCCTTGCGCTTTTTCATCCAGGCAAACCATAAGCAGAATATGACACCCAGAGCAAGCACGCCTGTGGCTCCAACAGTCCCTCCAACAATTCTTTTTGTGTCTGACGAACCGCTGCTACCATCAGACTCAGGGCGATCTGTCAGAAAAAAAATACAGGTACTGTTGTGAAAATGTTATGGACAGCATGGCTGTAATTATCTATTGAAAAGATTATGTACCACCTTTGCCTCTTCGTAAAGTCGTTATTGTAATATTTTCCCTGTTCTATATCTGTTTCTGACTGATACCACGGTTCCCGCGGCCTCATTGAATTCAAGGAGTCCTTGAAAACTGCTTGAATTTGCTTTCAAGGAAAAATGTCCTTGAAAACTCCTTGATTTGCGTTCAAGGAAAAATCTCCTTGAAAACTCCTTGAATTTTGCCAGATCGGACAGGAACACGTGTACAGAGTGACTGCCAGGCTGGGGCCCCCTGAAATTACCCCAGAATTTGAACAAAATCGCCGAGACCCGGAATGCACCGGGAATTTGAAGAAATCTGTCAATTGCCCCGTGAAAGACCCGGGAAAATACATAAACGTTCTCGAATATTTGAAAATCAAATCCGATAACGATAACGCCCTTGAGTCCTTTTTTGCGGGTCGCGGTTGTGATATAATATAATTCATTTGCCCTTTCCCGGCCTGAGAGTACGTTACACGCACACAGGCGGTTATGGCGGCAACAAGTGGAAGTGTATGTGCGATACCGAAGCTCGATCGGGAAAATCAAGATCTACTTTTGCTTTCGTTACCACCAAGAAATTTGCCGGTAGGGCCTATAGTAGTCCGATAGCGCCACATAATATGTAACATGCAGGTTCTGCATTACAAACGCTGTGTCGCCATGAAAATAATTCGTTTGTCCCGTCACTTGTGAAAAAAAAAACAGAAAGAAAAAGAAGGCTTCTTGTCGGGCTCGCCGTCGTGACCGGTCATTGAACCTGTGCGTTTTCGTCACATCATGAGTAGCGGTGACGGTTGAGGCCGTCAAAGTTCATGCAAAGTCTGAGCGCTGCGAAGTATAGGACTTGGGAATGGGGGGATTATTGATTTATTTTTTTTAAGACACACGCGGGGGAGGGAAGGGGGTGGGGTTGAAGGCAACACCGGATGACAAAAACTGAACTTGGAAGCAGAATTTCCTTTTTAGAATTTTGATTACTAGATCTACTATCTAGAGCTCTCTGCACAGCTCACGTTGGTGCATGCCTTATGTGGAATCGGGATCTGTCATACTCAAACCTTGTAAGCCGTGTTTTTGTAACTAAAGGGTTCCCGTTTCATTAATTGTATATTCTATATTTTAGCTTTCTGTTCAAGATTTGCAGATTTTCAGTGTCACTGCATCATGCCCTCCCACAGTTCTTACACCTCTCACACTGAATAGGTCTACTTGAGCCATTCATGTTATAGCTCTACTTTTAGTTAGAACAATAATTTTTCGAAGTGACTATTCGGACTCGAGTCCGAATATGAAAAAATGTTATTTGGACTCTGATTCTTGTCCAGCATGACATCACTTCCGACTTCCTGTGACTCGTGAATCCGGCTTCCTGTCCTGCCTCACTCGTGACTCGCCTCAGGCTGGGTAGAGACCGGGATCACTTCGGGCAAAAAGGCGTTTTATGCAGGAGCCAAGATTGATTCTTATGATGAATTTGAGGCCGGCCTGAAAAGTTATAGCGCTTCTAATAAATGTTTATTGGTCAAGAGGTCATCAGAAGCAATTAGAGATGGCTCGTTAGCGTGTGTCGGGGTCGGATGGGCGGCCTGCACACGTGTGGCTGTGTGCGTGTCGGGGAGGGGGGTGGGGGGGCACTATCGGTCCGGGCGTTGAACGTCGCATACGCGTCAGTCTTTTCCCCCCGGCAACTGATCATTATTACAATAATAAGCTAGTCTTGACGTAGATCTACGTGATGAATTGTGCTCTGGTCTATGGAATCAAAAGTTGCCGTATGCTCAGCTCTACACAGCAACACAACTTTTTCTTGGTAAACAATCGATATGACACAGGCTTGTGTATTTGAACGAAATCGGTCTTTTTTTTTTTTTACACAGCTCATAATATGCAGGTGCCAGGTGGTCTGCTAATTTTCAATTTTACCTTTTTCTACAACAAAGAAAGTGGGAAACATGGGTGGGGGGGGGGGGGGCGTATCAATGAGGCGGCGGGCATCGGATCAGCAGAAAAGGTGTGGGGGAAACTAAAAAATGGCGGAAAATTGGAAGCACTGAACGTTAGATCTATAGAACGAAGACACTTCCTTTTTTCCGGACCCGAGTCCGAATAACATTTTTTCATATTCGGACTTGAGTCCGAATAAGAATTTTTGTCTTTCACGTTATAAACCTTGACACCCTAAACTGGTTCTTGACAGTGGATATTCTGGTTCTAGGCCTTTTCTCAGGCTCAAAGCAAGATTCAATTTTATATAGTTTATATAGGCGAATATGATGAGGGGAAAATATAAATAAATAAGAACAGATTGAAATACCTAAGTCACAGTATCCCAGTGCCACAAGACATGTTGTTGACTGGATATAATGTACCTACATGCGTGCGTGCCATGTTTGTGTGTATATATTATATATAATATTTATAATATATAAATAGAGTATGCACTGTCATCCCTGGAGAATGGATGAGCCCCCCCCCCCCTCCCCCTGGAAAATTGAGATGCGGGGTTGGCAGTCACCCTCGGAACAGTTTTTTTAAGGACAATCGGAACTATGATATGGTTGCTTTCGGACAAGTGCAGACCTTCGAAAATAGGCTTTCGTCATGTATTTTTTTACCAAATCTTGAATTTTAAAAATTTCTCCTTGAAACCTCCTTGAATTTGATGGGAAGTTCATGGTAAGAACCCTGTGATACTGTTCAGACTGAATCTCTGAAAGAAATGGAGTAAAGTCTTACTCATAAATTGGCAATTCTGTCCTTGCTGAAATTATTAATCTACTACTAGAATTCATCTGACCTTTTAGGCACAAAATACAAGAGTAGTTGTTCAGTAGAAATTAAGTGGAGTCTGTACAATAATGGCCACATGTCCTCAAAAACAGAAAAAAAAGCAGCTCTAACAAGAATAAGAAAAACTCAATTCATCCAAAAGAGTTTTTGATCATCTCAGTTTCTTTCTTTAGAAAATATTCATCAACAGTGGTTCATTACAGCAGAAGTCTATCCAAAGTTCCATTAATGTTTTTTAAGCTAGGACAGAAAATATGAAAATTGTTCCCTGTCTTTGTCTATTTTCTCACTGGTCCAATAAAGCAATGTACAGAATGTCTATACTAAATAAGTGTCTAAATTATCAAGCAAAACATTATAAATTGTTCACTGCAGAAGACAAAAAAGTTAGAGATATTACATCTCCCTTGTCTCACTCCCCTTTCATGGAAAACTTTTCGGACACAAAATTATAAAGATGGATATGTGCTGACATCTTGATTTTGATTTTTAAAAAAAAATTTTTAAGACATAAATTTTTTTTCTCGATTAATTGGAAAGGAAAACATTGTTCCAACACAGTGAAGAAAATGTCCTTAAAGGGAAATAGTTAATGACATAGCAGAATTAAAGCCTCCCTCAAAAAGTTCAAACTCCATCACCACACTGTCACACAAACTTCAACCTACCTTGAACAGGATCCCTAAGCTTGAAATATGCAATGAAGTCTTGACCACTTAAAGGTGGGACAACTGTGAATGTTATGATCATTGATTTGCCCACTGAACCATTGACTGAATGGCTACAATATCCATAGCTACAAAATGTACCAAGATGAATGTGGGAACCTGCAAAGCCAAAATAGAAAAGAACCAACAAACACCTTTAAAAAGACATTAAGCTGCATTTGCATTATTCAAAATAATAAGAATCTACCTATGTAAGTTTAACTTGCAAACTATAATTATGGCACAAAGTGTGACTTCCAGTAGTTTTCAGGCAACCCAAAATGCTTGCACTATTTTTGACAATAAGAATCCACTTATTCATAACTGCAAATCTCATGCTCAATAACCATACTATAACTTTTAAAGACCGAACTTTAAGTTTTCATACATTCCTCAGCCTTTGAAAAACTCACATGACTTTTGTATTCAAATTCAAAGAATGAAATAACAACTTACCCAAAAAAATCAGGATAATAAGGAGCTCAAGATATACCCCCATTCCCATCACAACACACCTCAAGCAGATTAAAGTGCAGTGGTCAGCTTAGGCTAACCTGGACACAACATGGATGCGTCATCATTGTGAAACCACAGTATGCATACCTTCTGAAGTAATGGTATCAATTTCATCCACAGAGATATGGTCACCGGTGCACGACCCATTAGTAAGAGTATCAAAGTCATTGGTTTCTACCCGAACATTGATATACTTGCTTCTGTCCGAGTTTTTAATAAACCAAGCCTTGCATTTCTCACTGCTGAAAGGTCAAAGTTTGTTTGCATGTTTGAGCAAAGAGAATCACATTGATACAAAAATGGTCAATAAGTGCAAGGAAAAAAAATTAAGACCTACAGATAAAAACAACAGGAGGAGAGAAAAGAAGTAGGACCCACAAGTGGCATCCTCCAACCACAAGTGAATCACAACTGAAAAGATGAAACTGCCTTCAGCCCTGATACGTATTAGAATCAGAATGTCAATTTAAGGGGCCCAAAGGTCTTGTAAACAAAAAATAAGAGCAAAGATTGTTATTAAAAAATCTTCACATAATTATATGACATACAAAACAAAATGTTTTCATTGATGGCATCCGTGTTATTCCCCATAGATTGCAGAAGAACTTTTAGCTAATTTATCCCTTCCATCCCACAAACCTGACCACAAAAAAATTTCTACTATTTCTTCCCTACCATCATCCGAGCATGAAAAAGGGCTTTGGATAAACCTGTAAGCTAAACAAGAGAGAAATGATCATGCTTTGTTAGTCGTACACAGTGACATTGTGATATAGCAACAACAATTTGTAACAATGATCTCCTTTTTGACATGCCCACTTGTAAAAGTTACAATTTCATTTCTGAATGGTTTGTGTGACCTTTGAGGTCAAAAATCAGTTTGTTTACAACAATTGGAGTAAATATTTTTTTTAATGTCGAGTAGACCTGGTGTGAGTACTGTTTTACTCTTACGCCATTATGAGAAATTGGGTGACGAATGTGCTAGATCTAATAATTTCAGTTCCAATTCAAATTCCTTTTCTGGTGAACATGCGACCATCACATTCAATTTTCTCAATATGTTGAAAATTTCATATTGGTTGATTTTTGCTGAGATACAGGTATAGTACTGATGTAGCCCATCTGCATCCTAGTATGTGGGACAAGTGTCGTGCGCTCTGCATGGGTGGAAAGTGTTAACCACTACACCACAAAAGCCACTGTCTCTTCACAGAAAATCTGGAGTCAATAATATGGGAAAAACGACACAGCATGTCTCACCTGTCATGTGCAATGGGGTAGAAGGTGTATCTAAGGGTTTGAAAGTATTCACCGGCATGAACAATACTGGTCAATGGACAAGTAACTGGAACGAAAAAAAGATGTTGAAAAATTAATTCCTTTCATACACACACACACACACAAACACACACATACGCACGCAAACACACACACAATACACGTATGCACATACGTACGAACACACATGCATGCACACATGCACACTCGCACACACACATACGCACGCATGCACGCACACACACACACATGCGCCGACGTACGCACACACACACACACACATACATGAAGGCATACACTCAAACACACAAACATAAATGCATGCACACTTGCACACACACACACACACACATACTCACACACACATTCGCACACATATTACAAATACACATATACATCCAGATATAAAAGTGATTCACATTATATTAGCCATGTCTGGTCATTGCTTATATTTCGTAATTTTAAATCATACAAAGAAAATTTCAACATTTAACTTTCCTTTCCTCTGATTTACCAGAAAGTTAATGAATGCACAGTTAAAATTGGTTAAGACATTCATCCACTATCGAAGAGAAAAGTGACCAAGTGGACGTCTTTTACAGCATCGGTGTAATATAAAAATTATGCCAGGGGGAAACTGGAAGCAGTCTTTTTTAGAGAAGCTCCAGTGGCTAAGTGAGCAGTGAGTTTTGACTCAAGCAATGTCAAGCAAGTGTCGGTGACACAGGGATCAGATGGGTGGTCACTGGAGTGTGTCCTTGAGCAAGACACGACAACCCTAGCTCAAATTACAGGGCGCTGCACAGTGGCGACCGACAGTGGCATTGTTTGTAAACTGTTCAGTCTTTGTGTAATCGTGTGTATTTATTTATGTATTTATGCATGTATGTATTTACGTATGTTACGTATTTATAATTGTGTATTTATGTATGTATGTTTGCCATTGTAAAACAAAGTGCCCTTCTGGGACAAATAAAAGAGTAATTTATTTATTATTTATTTATACAGATGGCCGTTAGAGCAGGATCGACTGTATTTCTGAAAAAGTTTGGCTTTTTAAAAACTGGTGCCACATATCTTGGAGCTTAGTTGCAATGGATAATGGGAAAAAGTGCTCAAGCTGTTAAGGGGTGGTGCTGCAGTTAGAAAAGCAAACATATTTTTTTAATGAGCAATTAGCAAAATTGCTAACAAAACCAAAAAAGGCTATGAAATGCTACTGCACTTTTAACAACAAAATTCTACAATAACGAAATATATAAATGCTTCAACCTACCTGGCGGAATAGACTTAAGGGTGATGCTATAAACTATGTCCAAACTTGTTCTTGCTTCAGCATGCAGTGTCAGTTCTATCACATTTCCCAAACTGAAGATGCTGGTTTTCTCTGCATATGCTCCACAGAACATTCCAAGAGAGGAGTTCTCATTGTGACCAACTGTTTTCAGAAGAAGGGAAACTTTTTCAGAGTTCGTTTGAGTAAAGAGAAGTACATTGAGACTCATGGTCATTCAGGGCAGAGGAGACAGGAAGACAGAGAGAGTCAGCTAACAGAGAGGGAAAGACAAAATGGCTCAGTCTGAGAAAGTTCTCAGGATACATAAACTTGAAGGAAAAAAAAATACATTGACAAACAGAGAAGACAGGCTAAAACATCACCCCGACATGGATGGCTGGAGCCTCTATAAATAAATTGTGAACGGTTCAGGTTAAGGAGAAGACATGCATTTACTGAGGACATTATAAAATGTTTCATGACCAATATTAAACCAAATCTTTTTCTTAGACCTGAAATTCAGACACAGCCATTTTGCACCTGCCCCTATCCATGTCATTGCACAAACATTTACAGTTCGGTTTCACAAACTTACCACCAATGATTGTAAAGTAATTCTCTCTGCAATGTGAACTGGAGTAACTGGTGAGAGAAAGTTCTTCAAAAGTGACACATATCTTATGACTTGGTTCTGTTATCACTCTGAAGTGACAATCTCTCCTGTGGAGAAAAAAAGGAAACAGAAAATTATTAGCTCATCCTGTGGAGGAATTAGTGCTGCATAATAAGGGGTTGATTTACATTTCAACAGGGACAAAAAAAAACAACCTAAAAATTACAATAGCAAAAGATAGGTTCATTAAAATGAGTCCCATCCTGCAAAAACAGAAAAAAAACCATCTTAATGAAAACAAAAATAATGGTTTTACAACACATATTCATCCTTAACACTTTCCCTACCACGAACTGCGGCTCGTGGACCTGTCCTCGCTGGATCGAGAGCCGCAAATTACGGCTCGAGTGGCTTGCTTTCTATTCCAATCCAGTAATGAAAAGACACAAAATTCTCGTCCGATCCACGTTTTCAATGAGATACGATTTTTTGTCATTTCAGCTCTTTTTTGGTCCCTTTCGAAATGTAAATATGTGGAAAAAAGCACTACCCTGACTTGAATATGAATCATATTTTCACTTCTATATTAGGTACACATACATAACTTTCAGCCTTTCTTCGCATTACTTGAGGCAACCTACCTGGGAAGTTTGAATGATGCTGTTGTTTTTTAGATATATGATCTTTCAAAGCTGGAAAATTGTTGATTTCATATGACGCCTTCGGTATTGCATAATCACTTTTAGAAACCCCAAAGTAATATGTAATTGGAATAAATCTTCAATATTGTATCGCCATCTGATAGATTATTTTTTACCTTCAGTTTGATGGGCCATAAGATATGGTTTGTGTGGGTTTAGTTGGATGTTTTGACATTTTCCTTTGGCAGGTAAGGGTGTAAAAATAGGTCAGGGAAAAGCCCTGGGCCATGGGTGGATTTTGGCCTGGTAGGAAAAGAGTTAAATTGATACAATTCCTCTCAGATTCGTTCCGCAAAGATTAAAAAGGAGCAACAGCTTCACCTTCTGCGTTTAGAAGGCATCAAATTTCCCCAAAAACTGAAATCTAAAATGACCACCCAGCAAAACAACTCTGTAGAGGGCAAAAGTTGTCTTGAGCCTATAAATAATACGACACACAGACATAAACACTTAGTTTAAACAAGTTAGTTTTGTTGTTTTGTCACCACAAATCAGGGCAAGAAAGCGAGCACTGAAATCTTCATGGACGAGAAAAAAAAATACAACCACAAAAAAACAAAAAAACTGTGCCACAGCCATTTTTGTGTTTGTTAAAATACATGAACCATGTTTTTTTCTTTTATTTGTTTTAGGCATAAGTGGCAAAGAAAGTGAAAGTAGACATAAATCTAGAAAAACAACGCGAGCAGATTAATTTTAGTGCCATGAAAACTTAGAAGAAAAGCCATAGATGTACTATAAAAGTTACTATGGGTAAATCGAGTGTCAATGAGTCGCAGTTGGACAAAGAAGATATTGTTTTCTCTGCTCTTTCCTTCCTCTTTCTCTCTTATAATATCAAAACAACATTTTAAGTAAAATCTAAACAAAATTTCACATTGATAGCTTAAATTCTTCAGGCACAAGGCGTGTCTAAGGTTAGTATGTCGAGTTCAGACCGATTTTTCCCCCGGCTCCCGGCAAGCAAGGTGGACACAAGTGCACTGCCCGCAGCCACGCAGGGTGAATAGGGTTAAAGTTTGAGGTCAGAAGAGTGTGTGGTTTCTCCTAGAAAGGGACACAAAGGTCAACACCAAAAGAATCACACACTACACATACAGAATACTGCTCTGTCTTGAACTCAGTAAATAATACTATATGCAGAGAGAAGGCACTTTCACATCCACGGGTGTCAGTGATGAGATGGTTAACACTTTGCCATCACAAGGCTCATATAGTAAAAACCCTTGCTGTCAAAGAGAAGGGATTTTGGGGAAAATCCAAAGAAAAATCCAAAGAAACAGGGAGGTAAACATCACCGATCAGCGACATGTGACGGCAAAGTGTTAAGCCCTGCAAAGGTAAGGTCAAAGCAACATATCTCCAAAAGGATCTCTAATGGGTTGCTGAAGGCAAAAAAAATATTTACAACAAAAATAATAAAACACTTACCCAAACAGTTCCTCAGCCGGAAGCTTATCATGAAGGATGTAGCTCATATCAACAAAGTCGGTGAGATCAATCGTAGCATCTACACATCCACCTGAGAGGGAGAAATATGCATAATAAACCTATAGCAGTGCAAATGATCTTTTCATGAGTGCGTGAGTGTGTGTGTTTGTGTATGCAGAGATGCCAACCACAGAAAACCGAAATGAGTACTGGGAAATATGAAAATGTGTATTTTGAGGGGGAAATGTGTATTCCCCACGACCGACCGACCAACTAGTAAAATTCAGGGTGTCCAGCAATATTTCCTTTAAAAAATTTACCCGCTCATCAGCTCGAAAAAGGGAGCACACACGCGTACAATATTACATGTATCCAGTCAACAACATGACAGTGTTCAGTGTCGTACTGGGGTCTTGTTTGACTTAGGTATTTCAGAATATTTAATATTTTCCTCTCATTATTATATAAAAAATTAATCCTGCTTTGAGCGTTCGGAAGGGCCTAGAACAAGAATTTCGACTATCAAGCACCAGTCTGGGTTTCATGATTCATATTATGAACTGACAGACTAAAATTATTGCTCAAACTCAAAGAAGAGCAATAACTTGAATGGCTAAAGTAGACCTATGCATTGTGAGAGTTGTAACAACTGTGAGAGGGCAAGATGCGGTGACACTGAAAATCTGCCAGTCTTGACCCTAAAGCTACAACATACACTGTAGGTATAATTTACTGTCACTTATCCAATGAAACGCGAACACTTCATTTCAATAACACAGACTTGCAAATAATGAAGGGTCCCGATTCTGCACACGGCCTGCACCAACCCGCGCTTTGCAGAAAGCTCTAATCAAAATTCTGAAATTTGCTTCCAAGTCTTTGTCCTCTGGTGTTGACTCACACCCCCCAACCGAGTGTATCTTAAAAAAAAAAATCAATAATCCCCATCCTATTCCGTAGTCCTATACTTCGCAACGCAGTTACTCCCACCAATGACGGTCTTTGCTCACACGATGCCGCATTTATTTATGATGCCAAAGCGCGCAGGTGCAGTGACCGGTCACAATGGCGAGCCAGTCAATCTAAAAATCAGACGGCGCTTGTATTTTCTTTTCTTTCTTTCCCACACGTGACAGCACAGAGACGAGTCCGAGTGTTGATTAAATTTTATTTGCACGGCAACACAGCGTTTAGATTGTACACTGCACAACCTGCAAGTCACAAATGTTGCGTTATCAGACAACCGCTGGCAAACTTCTCGGTGGTAACGAAAGCGAAAGTAGATCTTGCTTTTCCTGATCGAGCATCGGTGTCACATACACTTCCGCCTGCCGCCATAGCCACCTGTTTGCGTGAAACGTACTCTCGGACGGGGAAAAGGTGAACGCAATATCACAATCGCGACAGGCAAAAATGAAGTTACTGACCTTGCCTTATTGGACTTGGTTTTCAAATATTCCAGTTCCGCGATACTGATACTATTTTGGCAAAAGATGGGACTCGAGATATTAGCTTTACTCGCCCAAGCTGAATCTCGTATTTTTCGCATTCCAGGATGCGTATTTTTTCATGAAAAGTCGTATTCGTGTATTTTCGGCAAAAAATTGCACTAAAATACGTAAAATCGTACTGGTTGGCATCTCTGTGTATGTGTTTTTGAGTGAGTGTGAGGGTGTCTGTGTGTGTAAAGTTACCTGGCGGTCCCATGAGTCGGGTTTGTCAGGGGGCCCCCGTCCAAGATAAGTGTTGCCTCGTCGTGGTCCTGAGTCCGACTGAATATCTCAGCGAGTCTCTCAGACGATCTCCGCCTATTTCCCGTGGAACCCTTGACGTCATCCAAGGGTGTGCCACTCCCTTAATTATCTTGTCCCCACAGTAAAGATAAAAGTCATGTCCCTTGACATCACATGTGTGTAAGTGTTTATGCATGTGTGGGTGTGCGAGAGTGTGCGGGTATGAGCATTTGTTTGAGTAAACAAAGGATTACCTTCCCCTATCATCATTCTAATTACAAAGGTTACACCAATGCTCTCTTTGTGAAAAAATGAACAAAACAAAAAGGAAACATAAACACATTCTGTTGAAGCATGACTAGCTTTATGCCTTAACTGTAGTAGAAGTTTTCAACATGATGCTGAAAGAGCAAAACAAAATTTTTAATAGAGGTGATTGAAACCGACTACAATATCAGCAAAAAGGGAAAAAACTTAAGTTCTACACTTAAGCAAAAAGCAGTACCACTCACCTCTTCTATAAGTAAACTCGAAACCAGGATGAGCATCCAGAGACGTAAACTCTATTTTGAGGGCTTCAGCACTGTATCTCTGACTGGCAGCTGCTCTGTTCTGGTGTGTGTGAAAACATGGTGTCCTACTTTCTAAACGCCATCTGTAGCTACTGACTTTACAGGTAAAAGGTCACATCATTTTTTTTATGCAGTGGTTTTTTTTTCATATTTGAGAGTTAGGGGGAGGGGGGGGGAGGGGGGGGAAGGGGGGGGGGAGAGAGAGAAATTGTGATCACAATGTGTTGAAATTATGCTATGAGTGTATATTGCGTATCAACAAAGCTTGTGAAAAGATGCTGTTAATTTTTTCAAATGAAGGATCAATTAATCTTTTCTTACCATACAAAATGTTGGTTTATGAATACATTCAAGTAAAATTTTAATTTCTTTGTAGATGTACCTAAATCATCTTTTTATATATAATGCTGGGGTTTTTTTACACTTAAAATGAATTTTAAAGACAAACTTGTTCATTTCTTTAAATAGAGAGATAGCTGTTGTCCTCCGACACTTAATATGTTTTTCTTTTCTTTTTATTTAAGACAAGAATCAACTTGCAAAAGAAAGGAAGCCAATGAAAGGATTCAATCAATCAACTTAAAAAAAATAAAACTTACTTTGATGCTTTATACAAAAGAGTACAGGAGGAGGACACAAGAATGAGAAGAAAAGAAAAAGGAGAAGGACACGGATAAGGAGGAGAAGGAGTTGGAGGAAAAGGAGAATAAAAGAATGGAAGAAAAAGAAGAGAGAGTTGATGGCAGTGGGAAGAGAGGAGGAAAAGGAGGAGAAGGAGGAGAAAGAGGAGGAGGAGGAGGAGGAAGAGGTGGAGGAGAACAATAACTTGAGGACTTTGATGAATGCAGTACCCAACAATGGCAATGTGTAAACCTTCAGTGACATGCGTGAGTCACAGGTGAAGTCCGGAAAGTCAATGACGATAGAGGAACTTTTCACAGAAGGATCTTTTGTAATGATCCAGGTACAGTTCGTCTCTCTGTGGCATACACATCGAAAATATAAAAAGATGTACTTTATTGAACAACTGAGGAAGGAATCATGAAAACAATAAATGCATGTATATAGTGCATATCCACGCTCTTACAGCATGCTCTATGCACTTTACAACTATCATTGCCCTAACAGATTCTAGAACTCAACTCAGAAACATTCTCAGCTTCTCGAGATGCATACAATGCAAGCTGTGGACTCCGTACGTTAAAATACTAACAAACCAACAAAATTTTTCGCTGTCTATTGTTGGTACACTTTCACCAGCTATACAAAATTTATATAAAAACATAGAAGTCTATCTATATATATCAATACTACCACCCAAACAATCATCCTTACATACACAGGGATACAATTCTCTCACTCTCTCTCTCCCTCCATCCCTCCCTCCTTCCCTCTCTCTCTCTCTCTCTCTCTCTCTCTCTCTCTCTCTCTCTCTCTCTCTCTCTCTCTCTCTCTCTCTCTCTCTCTCTCTGTCTCTCTCTCTCTCTCTCGCTCTCCTTCCTTCCTTCCATCAGTCTGTCTCTCACTTTCTGTTTCTCGCAAACACACTCACGCACACAGACACAGACACATGCAGACACCCACACATATACACACAACACATAAGTATGCATGCGCACACACACACGCGCACACACACATGCACACACTGGGGTTTGCAGTGCAGTATTTTGTCACTTTGCCATCGCACAAAGGAGACTCAAGTTCCACTCCTGAAAGAGGAAAAATTTGTATCAAGTGTCTTGGTCTTTCTGCTGGGATGTTGTATCCCCCTCAGCTTGAGATAGCCCTGACAGGCAGGTAGGAAGCCCGCCTCCTAAATGATCTAAATTTTATCTATGGGGATGTAAAAACACCAACATTTTAAAAAAAACATTGCGTACGCACACACACACACACACACACACAAGCACACAATCAAGCACACACAAGCACACACACGAACACAAACACACATACACAAACACACAAACACGCATAAATTAACAGAACACACTAATTACAAGCACTAACCGGGGGAAAAAATTGGGGTACATGACGGTGTGTGCCAGCTGGGGAGAAGCAAGAGCCTTCAGTCCATAGGCGCCGCATTGTCCTGTGAAGAGATCATCACATCAGTTAACTCTTTGAGAACGTAGTAGACATATATGTCCGAACAGCAGCAGAGCTAAGGCCAAGTTTCTGCACATTTCAATCCATCATACACAAATCAGAACCCAGAGTTTGCATATTTCATTGTATGTAAGTTGTTGCATGCCTTTAAAAGTTTCACATTAAAAAAACGAACAAAAAATCTGTTTGAACAAATTGAACGACCAGAACGCACGGCCTCAATGAGTTAACAGATACTAAGGATAGGATTATCTTCTGGTGCAACTGATAACTGAAGGTCCATATTCTATGAATGAACTGAGAGGGGGCTCTTTTCAAGTACATACTCGATTTAATATACAGGAACAAATTTGCGACAAAATGTGACATATCCATTTTTCCAGTGTTGAGAAAAATGAAGATTTCTGTTCTTCAACCATTTACTAAATAAGTTTCGTTTTTGGGGTAAACCTGATGTATGGCTTAGTTGACATTTGTTGTATGATGAAATCCATGTTGGACTCCTGTCCTTTAAATTGAGAACTCCACACACTTTAGACAATTTAAAACGCGAAAGATCCACAATACAATAATAAGGAAGGAAAACAACCGACGACAAATTTTTGTCGCCCACAATGAAAGTCAGGTGACTCAAGGAAAGAACTTAATTGGCACACAGAGAGTATGTTGTAGCTTGTCAAAACAGGTCTATCGCCTTTGTTGCGTTTTGTACAATGAAGCCTCACTTTCAGCAATTCTTCAAAGAGGAAAAATTATGTTTTGACCCTGAAATGTGCTTCACTCTCTAATTATGACGATATTAGTTTCATCTAAACTTCAAAAATGGAATTTGTCCCGTTTTGTTGTCAAACTGTTCATATAAGCACATGCCAAAATGCTGGGAAAATCATACATTACAAAATAAAACCACCGGCAAAATGACAGATTTTACCATTCATAGATCCTTTTTAGCACGTACATGGAGAAATGCATAATAAATCACCAGTATCTATTGTGTGGATTTTGGCAGATACTATATCTTGCATTTGAGCCATACTGTCTTGTCCAGAATAGTGTTTTGCTTATTAATGAGGGTCTCCCATTGCATACAGAAATGAACAGTAAACTGATTCATATAAATCCAACCTTTACACCACACTTTCATTTAGAGACATTCAGAATACATCTTGGCAAAGCAAAACATTTTTCCTTACTTGGTAAAAAATAAAAAGGTCCACATTCAAATGGATATTTTTACTAGGAAAAGAATAAAAGAGTTAAATGTTCAAAGAGATATTTTCTTACTTAGTAAAGAGTAAAGAATAATACATTCAAACAGATAATTTTCTTACTTGGAAAAGAATGCACAATTTCATAATCAAAGTCGAAGGTAATAGGAGAAAGGTTCTCAGATGCAGACAAAATCTGGACCTCTAAGCGTGCACCACCATCCAAATACATCCACAAGTTTCTGCCATAGTCCTGGTGGACGTCAGCAATTTTCACAACTTCATTTTGGCCAACTGAGGAGTAAAAAAGTCATGCAAGATATATCCAAAAAGAATTAAAGATATGAAGCACCCTGAGCCAGTGTGTTTATTTTGTTTTGCCCACACAAAGAGAAGCACATCCACACAATAACAGTTTTTTAGTGCCCACAAAGAGAAAGAAAGAGGTACAAAAACAAAAAAGAAAAGTAAAGAAGTAGGATCTACCAGTGGCACCCTCCAGCTATCCCCAAAAGAAAAGTAACTTGAAGATGTGCGATACAATTAAAATAAGGAAGCATCTTGAACCACTGTGAGCTATGCAAAAGTGTAAATTGTATATTACACAACTTGATCTCATAATTACACAGATGAGTACCACCTGGTGTAGATTTCAGCAAATCACCAAGCCATAGCAACATTTCAAGAACACAGTAATACAAAGACAGAAGAAGGAGCAAACCATAGCAGAACGATCTACCAATCACCCACCTTTTTTTGTCGATACATTTACGATACTGCACACCCTAGCACCTTCTTTGATTCCAAATGTACTGACAATGTCTCTCCTCAGGAGCATATCAAGGAATTCAAGATCAGAAGTGAGAGAAGCAGTACTTGGGTAATCTACCTCCTCTATGTCTACCACCCAGGCAAAGCTGTATCATGCATCCTGCTTTAAGGTCGTCTGTCAAAATGCAAAAGGCTACTGTATGCCAACAATGTGCAGAAAAACAGGAGGGCACTTTGCCTATTTTCCATTATTTCTTCAAGAGCTAGATTTGAAACAGACACTGATGATCATGTTTCACCACTCATTTCTCTGCACGAATGCTCTAAAAAATCCTGTGTTATCCTGATCTTTCCCTGTCATCCATATGCTCAAGTTCTCAACGTAAGTTATTGCTGATTTATCTCAGGCTCTTTTGCTTTCAACATTTCCAGTGAGAGCAGGAGGTTAAAGATCAGCCACACATTATGTCTTCATGCACTAAATACCAAGACACTTGAACAAGGACCATGACCTCAGTAAGAGACCAACAATAATTTACCGAGAGAACTTGAACAGATGGGTGATGTGAAAAGACCAGTTTTAACATAGATGTTTTTTTAGAGCATCCAAGCAGACAAATGAGTGATGAACCATGATCACTGATGTCCGTTTCAGACTCGCCACTTGAAGACCTCATCTTATAACAGGCCCTAGTAGGTTGTTTAACATCACTCATTTGTCATAAGAAAGAAAGAGAGAGATGGGTGTGTGTGAGAGAGAGAGAGGGGGGGGGAGGAGGGAGAGAGAGAGAGAGAGAGAGGGAGATGGGGAGAAAGACTTAGAAAATTTTAGTAAGAGTTTTATAGCACTTGCAACACAATAGGGTCATATATAAGTGCCAAAAATTAGAGGTGTTACAAGAGTGTAGCAAACAAAAAAGAAGGTAGCGAGATCAGAACAATAGATGATTGATAAGAAAGAAGGAGCAAACCACAAAAGAGCACCCACCAACCATCCACAGACAGAGAAAGAGAGAGACAGAGACATACAAAGATAGAGACAATATCTAATCTCTTTTTCATATAATGAATGAATAAGTTTGACTGTTTTTCCCTGCAAACTTGAGCATTCACACAGTGGAAATATGTGATCCATTGTTATTATTTGGTCCTGTTGAGGTCAGCATTTTTCTCGAATATTTCCTTTTGGTGGATGTGCAGATAACACAGTTGGTATCATGCTGGACTGTGGTCCAATTCGGTGTTCATGAACATTGACTCTTTGGGGAGTTTTCAGGGCTCCCTTTTCTTGGCTCTGTACTATCGAAGATGGGATGTCACACATCCTTAACCTTTATCTTCAGAGCGAGGTCCCCCCCCCCCAATGATAAAGCCCTCTTTTGGTATGAAATTCAGAGTGACATACTAATCACTAAATCGGTCAATAAATCAAAACGTATTAACTTCTTTCGATAATTCTTCATCAAATGAACAAACTCCTGGTGAGAAAGACTTTTTCCAGATACTGTCAAAAATTAGTATAAAGTTGATGTCATCATAAAAGAATGCAACCTAGCCGCTGCCAGCGGATCACCCACACAACGGCTTTGACCATAAGCTGGTGGGAGCAGCTTGCCGGAGATAAAGGACTTAAATAGCCTCGAAAGGGGTGTTAACGGTATACTTTTGCAATAAAATTACATTTAATTACAATCCGTTTCATAAGCATTCGCTAACCTGCCTGAAATTTCTGCCCTGGCCCAACTACACAAACGAGACAAAATTGACCTAGAACCGATAGAGGTAGACCAATCAGTACACTGACCGGACTTACCTTCAAAAACACTGAATCTGTTCTTGCTTGTCTCAGAAAAGTTGTTGTCTATTTTCACTCTGAAACCTTCCGGATAGAAATTGGGGCTTTTCCGAAGTTCCCATGTGCAGAACAAATTTCTGTAAAAGACAAAGAGTCAGTTACATTTACAACTTAGAACTGATGACGTTGTAAGAGATAAGGTAAGATGAGATGAGACGAGACGAGACAAGATGAGACAAGACAAGACAAGATGAGATGAGATAAGACTAGGCGAGATGAGACAAGACAAGATAATAATAATCACTAAAAAGAGAAATTTGTTACAGCATGGTAAATGAATAAGATACACATGCACACGACAACACACTCACACTAAACACAGACACACACACATACACAGACACATACACATGCACACATACACACCACACAAACACATTTTTTTTCTATCTAATGAATAAAGAAAATATCAAAGAAACTAGACAAAGAGGCCATGGTAAGATCAACATGAGCAGTATTATCATCATACCCTCAGATGCAATGCTGGAGGAAAAAAGAAATTCAAAGAAAGTTTTTAAGAAACTTATTGTGACAAGGAAAACAAAACCTCTGAAAACTGCCAAGCATACAATTGAAGGCTCATAAAATGTTAGATTGAAAAAAAGAAACTTAGGTGCCCAGGTCTCACACTTATGTCAGCGTATTTGTGTAAATCTTGAGCACAATAAAGCACAGCATAATAATTACAGTTACGCTGAAAAAGAAAAATAGAGAGCGGAAAAAGTCTGTGAGTGCCTCTATGACGGAAGAGAAAAATGCCGGCAAGTTACAACTTTACAAGAGACCAAGACGGACCAATACAAATGCTTGGTACAGACGATGAACAACAAATTAGGCCTGTCAGATCATAGTAACCATTTTTCTGCTCAAAAATGGAGGCTACCTCCAGCCTGATTGAGAAATACCATAAGACTGTGTTAACAACGGACTCCTTATTTTTTTTTAAAGCATTAGGTCATTCCCATACTCTACCTCAGTCAACATCATTTCCAATATTCATTTAAAAGCCATCATGCACACAAGCCCCAGCACAAAAAACTCTGACACGAGCATACATATCGACAGTGTTTTTCTCTAACCATGTAACTGGTTTTGAAATTTTTCAGGAGAGAGTAAAAACGTATTTCTCGGAGTACTCCCCAAATTTGTTCGTTTTTGTTTAATTAGGCTTGCTAGAGGACTACCCGTGCCCTCATTGTTATTCTTTAAGAAAAAGTTACATCATTTTGCTGGTTTTCCAGTTACGCGGTTATCGCACAAAATATTGTCGGGCACTAACACGGTCAGAGAGACGCGCAATTAGAGCACGACACAATCAGCCACAGGAACAAGCTAGGCATTAAGGGAGCAGCCAATAACACAATTAGGTTTCAAACACACAGTGTGTGTGCGTGTGTGTGAGTGTGCTTTTGTATGAGTGTGAGTGAGTCTGTGTGTGTGTACTTGTGTTTTTGTGTGTTTGAGTATTTGTGTGTGTGTTTGTGTGTGTATGTGTGTGTGTGGGTGAGAGTGTGTGTGTGTGTGTGTGTGTGTGTTTGAGTGTGTGTGCTTGTGTGTGTGCTTGTGTGTATGTGCTTGTGTGGGTGTGCTTTTGTATGTGTGTGTGTGCTTTTGTATGTGTATGTGTGTACTTGTGTTTTTGTGTGTTTGTATATTTGTGTGTGTGTGTGTG